TCGGCAAACAATGACACAGTGTTAAGGGTGTTATAACTCTTGTTGCAACATAATTAAGCACCCCATGGATTCAGATAGACAGACTGACTGGTGCCTAATGGTCATTAATCAGAACGGCCAGGGTGTACCAGCTTCTGAGTTTTCATTTTGCAGTAGTAAATGTTTATCCTACTATTGGTTAGCCAGTGTGAGAGGAGACTTGATTATCTTTTGAACTGTGAAATATTATATCTACCTCTGCATAAGGTGGGACCAATCTTTTTGGTTGGAGTGCCACAAAGGAAAGCTCCTTCCCAAGATCCACTCTGACCCACTTCTGCCTGATCCCTTGTTCTGCTCTTTCCTTCCTGATGTGTTACTCTGCTGTTTCCTCCCTGTCTGCTCTATTCTCTTCCTCGCCTTATCTGTGCTGTTGTTCCTGCTCCCTGCCGGATCTACCATGTGCCAACAAAGTGGCCATATCTGCCATTTGTGGTAGGTGTCACAGGTTGGCCATCCCTAGCATAATTTTAGCTGTGGTAAATTAGTTTTTGCACTCTTACTAGAGATGCAGCAGTAAAGGTCTTTGGATTGTTCCATATTGCCACTCCCCAAAGAGCTCATTAAAATATAGCTGTGTATAACTCCATTTCATCTGAGGATTATAAGACACTTCAGGCATGTGCATATGAAACCTCATGATACTGTAGAAAGTGCATCCCCTAAAATTGCTAGTTGGCCTAGTATACATCTTTTAATACTCAAGTTGTCTTACTGTCAGTATGTAAATTGAGATGATTTTATACTGTGAATCGACCAGATATACAGAGAAAATCTGGAAAGGCAATAGCATGCTGTTTATTCTGTATGGATGATTTTATGTTACAAAAAACTTAAAACATTTTTCAAATGTTTAATAATGTATCAGTACTGGTGGGTAGTCACAGTGTAGTATGTCTTCCCAGATCAATATAAAATGACATAAGGTGTACTCAGTCACAGCTCTTGCATTTCCACAGACAATTGAGGGAAAACTGTTTTCAGCCCAAGGAAATACCTAATTGAATACAAGGAAATATCAAGTTACAGCTCTGATTTTCATTAAGATAATTTAAGCATCCTTTTCCAGGGAATCTTGAATATTTACTATAAGCTTAATACTGTGATGCTTTGCTTGTACATTATTAATCTTTATGCATTCATTACTTATACACTGTGTTTTCCTTTCTCAGTGCTTTGGTAATAGCTGCAGTGTTTGATCGTGATGTTAACTGCAGAAGAGCTGCCTCAGTAAGTTGACAGTGTCTCATTTATTCCTTTATTAAAATTACAGTTTACTTGCAATGCAAGTTAATTGGATAGGGATGGATTATTTAAACAAAAAGTATATGTTTTGAGCAAAAAAGTATTTTATTTTAATATCATTATAATGTGGCTTGAGTACATATTAAAAATAATACAGACACACACTTGTAGACTATATTATGAATCTATAGTTAAAATTTGTCTTATTGTTATCACTCTTCCACTTTACAATGTAATATGTCCTAGGTGTCCCTTCACAGTATCTGATGAAGTAAGCTGCTGGTTATGAGAGCTTATTGTATATGTTTCTGATTTAGTTAGTCTGTAAGATGCAAATGTGCCTTACCTTCTATGTTTCTCGGACCCATTTTATTCTGTGACTCTGTAATACATGGAAGGCTCTATAAAACATGCTACTGAATCTTGATAATGCCACAATGCTTTTTTTCCCCCTGCGTGTCAACTGTCAAGTTCTAACTGCAGTAAATTAATACAAAAATAAAAATCTTCAGATGTGTTCACGGAAATTGAAAATGTTATAAGAGGGCAGGGAATGTTGTCCATACACACATCGAGATGGGATTAGAAAGCAGAGCCATCAATACAAAAATTCATTTTATAAAAAGTGTCTGGACACTATAATGTTGGCAAGAAGATGGGTAGGAAGCATAGTTAATGTAAGGGGAAGGAATCGTGTAAAGGGGAAGTTGTAATATTTGAGAGGAGGAACTTGTTAGGAATGTAATTTAGTATGTAGTAGTGTGTGGAATTCAGTTTGGTTGTTCATGTTTCCTTAAAGTTTTGCTCTAAGAAAGAAGTCTCATTTTTTTTTAAACCCTCAACCAAGCAAACAAAGAAAGAAAAAGTAGCTTAGATAGAAGTTTTAAAAAAATGGCATACTTAACTGGCTGTCTGTATATATAACACAAAAGATACAACAGTGCTCATCAGTGAATCCAGTTGTCTCCAATATGTGAATAATCTTCTGTCCAAATGCACAAAAAACAAAGGTGTACTTTGCAGTTTAACCAGGAGCTTAATAATGTGGGTAAATGAATTTCACAGCCAAGCAGAACTTCTCACAGAAGAAGCCTCGACAGCGTTCTTCTCTCTTTTGGCTCCCCTGTGTGTAAATGCTTAAGCCACTGGTTTAAGTTGCATTATTTTCACTAGGGAAGAGAATCAGTTGCTTGTACAACTGGATCCTGAACCATTTAATCAATTGTTTGTACAACTGCCTCCTGAACCAGTTATGGTGTTATAGGTTACAATCAAATTGTAACCTTTAATTGAAAGCTAAAAAGCAGTGAACATGGAAAATAAAATGCTATTATAATAGGCTCTCTGCCTAACTCATCTTGGAACATGTGAATGGAAGCTATATTAGCTGCCCTAGTTTAATCTTCTGCAGTCAGAGCATGTATTCCTACATAGAGTGCAATATATTAGACCAGGGGTGGGTGCTGAATCTCTGACCCTTGGGCCAGATCTGGCCTGTGGAGCCATGTGACCCAGTCCATGGGGCTTCCCAAAAGTCTGGAAATTTTTTGTTGGGGGAGTGGAGCAGTTAACACTGCCACATTTCCAAAGCCCTGTGTGGCAGATGACATGGTCTGGTATGTGAATCCAGCTGGCACACATGGAGCTGGGGGCAGCGTGGCAAGCTCAATCCAGTGGTATTGCAGTTGTGTGCAGTAGACAACCTCTTTATGCAAAGCACAGATAAAAAATTGGAAATCAAAACTACACAGAAACAAATTAGTTTCTTTTCATTTTTCAACCTGAGAAATGCATACAGTCAATAATCCCTGTTTGTAGGGATAGGTTGTAGGGAGAGTATATTATTTGATGGAGTCCAAGTCTTTGGTGTTTTGAATTGTATGGATGCTTCAAAATGTAGCTTGTGCTTTGTAATCATAATTACAAATTAACATAACTTTGAGTATCTCTTAGCGCTAAGTGTACTCCTCAGAACTGATTTTCATAAAATGACTGCAACTACTCGAGGAGCAAGTCTGAAGAAAGTACTTTATTTACCAAATCTAAGATGATTTTGGATTTAATGTAACCCTCTGATAATTAGATTTTATACATGGAAAATGTATAAATTTGTTATAATTTTCCATGTATGGAATCTAACTGTTGGAGGGTCATCTTAAATTCATCCTGTCCACTGCTACAATTGGTAAAGGAGCAGCAGTGGGAAGTGGGGGCAAGCAGCCTTGCCCCTGCCCTTTGTCCCTCCCACCACTTGTCCCGTCTGCTATGTGGGTCCCCTCTCCCAGCATCTGCCCCCTCCCCCCTGCCATGGTGCCTGTGTCCTGCTACCTCTGCTTCCCACCTGCTCCTGCTGCAGCCTCTGCCCTTTCCTGCAGCCTCTGCTCCACCCTCCTCAGCCATTTATTGTTCAGTTTTAGCCCATTTTAGCTCAGGGCATGTAGCTGTGGTCCTGGCCTGGCCATGTTGCAAGGATTGCAGTGATGGCAGTGGAAACACTGGCTGCTGCAACCCCTCTCTACGGCTGGGCTGGGCCTGGAGCTATTCTGTTTTCCGTGCCCCTGGATGGAATGGGGCTTGACATGTGTTGGACAGCAAGTGGTGAGTAGGGACAGAGGCTGCAGAGGGGCAGAGGTGACAGGGGGAAAGGCAGCTGCTGTAGCTGCAACTCCAGTCCCCAGACTGGGTTGGGGCCAGTCAGCTTTGGACCCACAGCAACTGCCTGCCCCCCTTCCCTGCCTTGTACTTGAATCCAAGATGGGGGGCTCACTATTTTTTTTAATTCCAGGAAATACAGAAGCGGTGTGTAAGGTGACGAATGATTTACAGATAAAACATGAAAATCCAGGCCAGTTGAAGCTAATTTCAGAGTTAATTAAAGGGTTAAAAAAAATTAATTTAGATTACTGTGTTTACTTGAATCCAAGACAAAGTTTTCCACCTAGTCAGCATGCAGAAGACCCCCCACCCTCTTGGATTTGAGTACCAGCCCCAGGGCAGGTGTCACTTTAGCTCTGGCTTTGGCCCTGGGCTCAGGGCTGAAGTCAGAACTGAGCCACCCTTGCCTTGGGCTGGAATGGCTTGTTTTGGGAGGGGGCTTGCAGCCAGAGGAGTGAGGGGAAGATTGGGGGGAGTGGGGCGTGTGGAGGAATGCATGTGCGGCTTAGGAGAGAGCACAGGAGAAACCAGACCCCCCAGATTCCCCTTCCCCCTCTCTCCTTACTTTATGCTTCCTGTTCCTCCAGCTCTGACCCCTCTGATCCCTCCGGCCCAGTCCCTAACTTGACAGAAGGAGAGCCATTTTTTCCACACTACCGTTTAACATATTCCTTTTTTTAATTTACACTTTTTACTTTTCTTGTGTCATTGTGCAAGTTTGAAAGTGGATTTGTACCACCAGATTTCACTGTTTGGAATGCTCGGAGCAGGGGTTGGTAACCTACAGCTCACTAGCTGGAGCTGCCTCACAGAGAGGTTGGATCGAGGTTGCAAAAGTATGATCCAGCGTGAGGCAGAGTCCCATGCTGCTGGTGTGCCAGTTGGCAGTTCATGGGGTTACATCCCAGTAGCACTGGTCTCCTTGTCAGGCTCCCACCCCTCCCCATTAAAAGCTTGCTGACTCCTGTTGCATAGCATAAATGGAAATGGAAAAGGAAAGTTATAAGAGTAGCATCATCTGTAATGAGATGTTTTTGCTGGCATCCAGCTTTGGAATTAGAAAGCTGAGAAACAATTTCTTGTTAGAAAACTTTTATATATGTAATGCAGAAAAAAACCCTTGAAGTCCTAATTATGCCTAATCTTTATTACAGTTAAAATATATGCTGTAATAGCCAACATGTTTTATTTGCTTTTCCATTTATTACAGTGTACAGCATATTATAATTTTGATCACCAATAAAACAAAAATGCAAATAGAACTATTCTGAACCTTGAGGGTAGGGAGAAGCGAAATAAGCTTTAAAAGATAATTCTATGCCTTATTTTGCAGCCATGACATGAATAGCCATTGCTTATTCACACGAATATTCCTTGTAATATTCCTTTGGGCTGTATGGTATTCTGACAGATTAACGTAGCACTGAATCATGGGAGTGGCATGATCTGTAAGTTAGAATATGATACTGAGGCTCAGTGCCATGTCTTTTACTCTGACATCTGCTGAGTCAATCAGTTAACCTCTCTATCTCATTTTCTCTGTCTCTATGGTGGGAGAGTGCAGGCAGCCCAGAGCTGCCCACATCCTCCAGCTGCCCAGGACAGATGCTTTGGTGTCTTGAGAAACCTGATCCTGCATACCCTGTGAATTCATGGACAGGATTGGGCCCCTCAAGCTCCAGGAGCCACCTGTTCAAGTTTCCCCACTTACAGAGATGCACCCCAGGGAATTTCAGGGCACCTCTCTGTAAGCAGGAAAAGTTAGGGGCCCCCACTTTCAGAGACCTGCCCTAGGATCTCCAGGGATATGTCTCAGCAAGCAGGGAAAGCCTCTGCATGTCACAGCATGGAGGCACAGGAATCAGGGAATCCTGAGTGCCTCCATGTCGGGACCTGTGTGGCCCTGTGCCTCCATGCTGGTGCCTCTGCTGGGCTTTGCTTCATATGGAGGTATGGCTTGATGCGGATCTTAGTGTGGAGGTACAGTGCAGTGTGGGACCTAGGGAATTCCCAGCACCCCGTGCTTCTGTGCTGGGTCATGTGCTGACTTGTACATCTGCATGAAGCATGGGTTGCTGAAGGATCTGGTGTAGGTTCTAGCATGGAGGTACAGGGTGATGGGGATTCCCTGGGTCCCATGCTGTCATGCACCTCTGTACTGGGACACAGTACCCTGTGCTTCTTCATGTGCCATGGGTTGATTTAGGTCCCAGCAAGGAGGAACAGAGCAGCGAGGGATGTGGGGAAATCCCTGGGTAAAGGGAACACATTGCCCAATAAAGCAGATCGGCTGCTCCACTTCATTTGGCAGTATCTGTTTTTACCCACAA